GTGAGTCCTGCGGCGGATCCGGTGCGAGGAGCTGAGCTCGTCCCCGGGGATGGGACTCGGTCCCCTCGGTGACCCGGAGCCCCTTCCCGGTGGCACAGCAGGGAACCGGGTCACCGTCCTGCTCTGCCGCTGTCCCAGGCCGGGGTCTCTGAGCCTGGGAAGACCCTCAAAGGCAGGAGCCCCCCGAGGGCTCCAGCAGGTCTGGGTGGGAGCAGGGACCCTGTCCTGTCGTGCGTTGGGACAAGGCAGAAGTGCCAGCCCAGCACCCCCAGACCCGAGTCCGGGTGGGATGGGGGGCAGTGGGGGTGTTCTTGTCCCTGCTGTACCCCGGGAGCTGTGCCCGTTCCTGGGTCACTGTTGGTCCCCAGCACTGGAACATCCCTCTCCAGAGCCGGAGCCCGGGATGCTCCCAGGAGCACACCTGCTCCCTGCCCTGCTCAGTGTGTTTTCCCAGGCACTGTGATGCTGCTCCAGCTTTCCTTGCTGGATTTGAGCATCCAAAGGCTCTTGCCAAGCAGAAGCTTCTCCAAGACGAGCAGGCTCAGCTCAGGGCTGGGGAACAGCTTCAGCCCCTCGGGGTTGTTTCCTCAGGGGGCTGTAACGGGGCTGCAGAGTTGGGGTGTCCATAACCCACTGGGAGGCCGTGGGGAGAGAGGGAGGCTCCGTGCTGGGGGATTATTTTGGATTTCCCAACCTGGGACCCCCCCGCTCTGCTCCGGTGGCACTGCTGGGACACCGCGGGGACACTGCCAGGACATCACTGCCCCGGCCACGGGGAAGGAGGTGTTTTCCCTCTTTGGCTGGTGTGTGCCAGGTGTGTTCATGGTGCCGTGGGCTCGGACCCTCTCTGGGAACGTGAGCCCAAATGTTGCCTCCTTCCCTCTGCCCCGGAGCGGTGCCGCGGCGCTGCGTCGTTCCCGGGGTGTGCGTGAGCTGGAGCTCGTTAAGAGGCAGGAAAATGGGTCTTGCCTAAGTTAGCACATCGAGCTGGCAGGATGAATTTGTCACTGGATAAAAGGGCACCTGAGCTCCCCAGGGAGCTGCGAGAGGAGCCCGGGGCCCATTTGTAACGCCTGCGACACCTCCGCAGTGGGCTCCCGCCAGAATTCCTGCGTGGAAAATACCACCCTTGGAAGAGCTTCTCCTGCAAGGAATTAGAGATGGCAGCCAAAGCCCCTGCCAGGGGAGGGAATCAGACTCTATGGCGTAGGTGCTCATGGGCTGTGGAACAGAGATGCTCCTGCTCGTCTCACAGCGGGGCCGTGCGTGTCCTTCACCGCTTCGTCCTCGTGATCTGAGCGTGTTTTGCCCCAGAAACAACCCAGCAGCTCCTCTTGCAGGGCCCACCAAGCCCCTCCAGACCCTGCTGGGCCTGGCCCCAGCTCTTGGGTGATGGGCTTTGTCCCACAAGATGGTGCAGCCATCGAGAGCAGGAGCAAAGCACCTTCAGCCTTCGCTGGGGAGGGTTTGTGTTCACTTGCTCACTTCATTTTAGGGCCGAGGCAGCTGCAGGGCAGAGTCCTGCCAGGGACCCCCTGAAGCCTGTGGGAAGACACCACAGTGGGTGCAAGGTGTGGACATCTGTTCTGTGAAAGCCTTCCCTGTAACTGCTGCTCATTTCTGGCTCCTTCCAAGTTGTGTTGTGGGGTTTTTTTTCCTCTCCCGCAGCAGATGGGAGCTGCTAAGCTGTTGCAGTGGTGTTGAAGTTCTCAGGGATGATTTGTGTGCCTCGATACCTTTGTCTTTTTTTTTTCCTACAAAAGAGGAAGAAGGTGTTACCCCCACCCGGGGGGTAACTGAGGCGGGGGGGGATGGAGCCCCCGGCCCGAGGTCGGGGCAGTGCTGGGGGCAGAGCCGTCCCCTGAGTGGCGGCTGCGCTGCCTCCCCCGGGCAGTCTTGGCTCCGAGGCAGGGCTGGGAACTGCTAAAATGGAAATACCCGCTGAGAAGTGACGCGCTTCCCTCCCCGGAGCAGCTCAGGGCTGGGAGCAGGAGCCGGGCTGAGCCCATCCCGTTTATTGACCGACTTCAGCCTCTTTCTGTCGGCAAATTGATCCCAAACGACTCCTTGAACCAGCGCCTGCTCCGGGCTGGGTGGTTTGGTGGCTGCACCATCTCTGCAGCCCCTGAGCCTCCTGCCAGCTCTGCCTGGGGGTGGTGTGGGCAGGGGTGCCCGTGCAGGTGGAAAGCCAAGGTTCTGAGGTGTGTGGAGTTGGCTGACCACCTCCAGCCCCTCCAGCCCCGCACTGACCATGGCACAGCCGCGCTCGCCGGGCTCACAAAGCTGAGTTTTGCTTGGAATGAGACTTTCTAGCCCCGGAGCTTATGGAGGAAATCCAGGAGCGAGCCCAGAGCATTAACTGAAAGGCTTTAGAGCCAGAAGGCAAAATATCAACTTCCTTTTCCAATCTCCTCCTCTTCAGCAAGCGGGAAGGCTGTTCCCTGCTCCCGGCAGAGCTGCCGTGGGCTCCTGCCCTTGGCACGGGCACGGCTGTGTGTCCCATCAGTGGGGGCTGCCCTGCCAAGGGGTCTCCTGCAGCCTGGAGCTGCACCACCCAGCTGTCCAGGTGTCCAGTTCCAGCTGTTCCTGCTGCCCACTGTGGCTTGTCCCTGCAGCAACCCCTCCTCACCCACCAGGCCCCCCCACAGTGGCTCTCGGTGCCATCCGGGGCCTGGGAGCTTGTGTTGGTGGTTATGAAACTGCTCCTGGGTGCACCAGGAGCTCAGCTCAGCACTTTTCCCATTCCTAGAGGAACATTTTCATACAGAACAGTTTAACCTGGAGCAAATTAGGGAAGACTGAGCCAGCAGCACCAGTAACAACCGCAATCCCCTGCCTGGAGCAGTGTCCCCCCTGCCAGGGCCAGTCCCCTGCCTGTGCCGTTGGTGGCACCTTGCCTGGGTTTTATTTGCCTTGTGGAAGTGTCACCCTGTGCCTGGGGCAGGAGGGGACAGGAGCACAGAGCTCCATCCTTGTCCTTGCTGCGTGTTTGGTGCCGTTGGATCCCCATGGACGTCGTGGGGACAGAAGGGTGGCAGGTCCTGTCAGAGCCCCGGTGCAATCCTGGCACTGGCTGGGTGATGCCAGGCAGGGCTCTCCTCGGCTCAGGGCTGGCCAGGCACCTTGGGGCCGTGGGAAATCCCAGCTGGCTCAGGGCAGGAGGACAGAGGGGGTGGGATGTGTCCCCTGTGCTCTGGGCAGGGACCAGGGTGCTGGCAGCTCGTCTGTCCCAGAGCATCCCTGTGCTCGGATCCTGTTATGGCAGAGGGCTGAGGTGGGCAGAGGGTCTGTCACCCCCACTTTTGTGTCCCCTGCCTCGTCACACCCCTCCACCACTGCTTGCAGAGTAGGAAAGCCCTTCCCTGCCATGCCGGGGATGGCACTGTGGTCACTGCCCGCAGCAGCCCCAAATCCCAGCCCTTGCCATCCCACCCAGGACTGTTCAGAGGGCTGGAGCCCTGGCTGCTTTGCAGGGAAGCTGCTCCATCCCTGCTCAGCGCTGGCCCTCCGGCGCCTGCTCGGAAAAACCTCATTTCAAACTCCAGGCGTTTACCTTGTCCCCCCCAGGGCTGTGGGGGTGCCACGGGCACAGCCAGAGGGGCTGGAGGCTGTGCCCCCTGTGCCCTTTGAGGGCTGGCCCCGCTCGCCTTTCCTGGGTTTGAAACGGGAGCTGGTTTGGGGGCAATGCCAGCGGGAAGAGGAGCAGGCACAGCACTTTCCCGGGCCCGGCGCGGTGTCACCGGGGCATAAAATTAAGCGGCTTCGGCGCAACATGAAACTGTGCATTGATTTTCCTTCCTGGCTTTTTCCCTTTTCCCGTTTTGCTGCTCCTGTCGGACCCCCCCCAGCCCAGCACGGGAGGTGCCAGTTTTGAGGACGGGATTGAGCCCCATTGCCAGGGGGTGCTTCACTGCCAGGGGGTGCAGGGGTGGTGCTGAGTCACCCTGGAGAGCTTTTGGATCTTTGTCGTCCTCCCCCCCCCCCGACAGCAACCCCCGGGGTGAGCTCTAAACCTGCCCCCTCTGCCTGTGGGTGCTGCTGCCCTCCCTGCTTTGGGGGTCCCATCCTGCCTGGACTTCTTGGGGCCGCTCATGTTTCTGCACCCCAAATGTCCCCATCCCATCCCTCCCTGGGCGCTGGAGGAGGGTGCCAGCCCCGATCCCTCCCCAGGGGTGCCAGGCCCAGCGGGCACAGGAGGTGCCCTGGAAAACACTCTGGTTTCTTCCCCCCCCCTCCAGCCCAGCTCTTTGCCAGATGATTCAAGAGCAAAACTATCTCGGCTGCTCCGTGTGAGTGTCTTGGCACCATCCACAGGAGCCTTGTGACCGTGCTCCCCGTGGGGACCGCGGGGCCGGGGGGCTGGGGGTGGCACTGGGGTGCAGACACGTGCCATGCCAGCGTGATGGACAATGCCATCAGCGGGATCTGGCTCCCAAAGAACAAAGGTGTTGGGGCCACGGGCTCGTGTGTGCTGTGGGACGTCATCTGGACGTCACCCTGCTGCCGTGGGTGCTGCCGGGTCCCTGCCGTGGGATGCAGCCTGAAGACAGGCTCTGCATCCCAGCTCTGCTTCCAGCCTCTGTCAGGGCACTGGGAACACCCCATCCTGCCTCACCCCTGGCTGTGGGGGCGAGGAGGGCTCTGGGAGCAGCGCTCTTCCTCTGCTCTGCTGATAACAGGGCCGGGCTCTGAGCGTGTGCTGGGGTTTGTGGTGTCAGAGGTGCAGCGGGGCTGGACGGCTCCCGACTCCAGCTCTGGTTTCCCCGACCGTGGGGAAACACTCGGAGCTTTTCTGCTTCTCTTCTTTGCGGCGTGGGACGGACCCTGCCATGGTTACGGGCGCAAACAGGGCCGCTACACCCCGGTTATTTATATCCCCTGGAGCAGACAGGCCTCCTGCTCCACCTCTCCTGGAGGGCTGCTGGGGCGAGGGATGGGGATTTATGGGACACGCTGTTTATACAGCTGCAGAGGGTGCTCGGGGAGCTGGACCTCGCGGGATGGGGAGCCTGGAGGGTGAAACACCATCCCCATCCTCATCCCCACCAGAGCCGGGCTCGGGCAGTTTTGCTCTAAACAGGCGGTTCCAGCGGTGGCACAGCTGTGGGTACGGCCCGGGGCACCGTGAGGGGGCCAGGCTTGGCCGGGGAAGGGAGTCGTGCCGTTCCCGGAGCCTGCCTGCTCGCTCATCCCATGGCTGGGCTGTTTATCCTGCGGCGCGTGGTGTTTTCCTTCCGCTGAGTTATCACCCGGCACCGCCTGTGCCCCCGGCTCGGGGCTTCCCTGCAGGGCAGGGCAAAGCGGGGGCCGGGCCAGCCCTGCCGGGGCACGGGGCACCCAGTGTCACCCCCGTCCCCGTGCTGGGGGCTGGGGGACACAGCTGGGCGGGCTGTTCCAGCCCCATCCCGCCGCACAGGCTCCGAGGATCGCGGCCCGTCGGCAGCGGGTGCCACGGCACAGCTCGTCCCCGGCTATACCGGGGTGCAGCCGGGTGGGCACTGGGTGCCAACCGGTGCCCCCTTGCCCAGCACAGCTCTTCACCATCCGGGACCGACTTGGCCCTGCTTCCCCTGAGCTCAGCAGCTTTCCCAGCTCACCTGTTCCTCCGCCGGCTCGGGAAGCAGCATATGGCAGAGTCCACCCTAATGAAGATTAATGGGAGGAGATTCACCTGCTCCGAGCCGGGCCCCTGCCGCGTTTTAATTATTATTTTGGGGAGGAGTGTTGCTGCAGACGGGCTCTGCTCCTGCTGGGTGACAGCAGCCGGAGGGGCCCGTCCCTGTGCCCAGGCTGCTGGTGGCACATCCCGTGGCACATCCCCTCCCGTGCTGGCAGGGAGGGGTGTGGGACTCTGCGGGGAGGGGGCTGGAGATGGGAAGTTTATTGGGGAGAGGTGAAACAGTGGCTCAGCTACAGCAGCATCTGCTCCCTCCATTCCCCAGGACGCTGGAGCAGGGGAACGGGGAGACAGCGAGGCTCCTGCCGGGTGCTATCCCACTATCTCTGCCCTCTCCCCATTTCCCTGGCGGCGTTCCTTGTTTTTTCACCCCCCTTGGTAGGTGGGAAGAGCAGTGAATTGGGGTGGGGATCCTGGTGCTGCCGGCACACCGTGGTCTTTGACGGAGGGGTCGGTGTGGGATACCCCCCTTGTAGTGGGGTGGAGCTGCTGAGAGCAGCATTCCTGCCCCGGAGGAAGGGGGGAATGCTGATTCCCGGCTTCCCGCGCCGCCTTCAGGCATCTGACCCTTCCCTAAGCCGCTTAGGCGCTGCCGGCGGCCGGGCCGGGGCGTTTGCCCAGGCTTTACGAGTTAATTCCTAGCAGGTGATGCGTTCTCAGGAAGTTTCTTTCCCAGCCGGCCCCGTGGGGCCTCTCATGCCTGTATCCTTCCACAAATCCCGTGGGATGCCGAGGGGGCCGGGTGGGAGGCATCCCCACCGCGGCGGGGCAGGTTTCCAACACGGTGGGTGACATGTGGGGCTCCGGCTCGGTACCAGAGCCAGGGCCACCCACAGCAGGTCCCCGTGGGATCAGCGTGTGCCCGGGCCTCGGAGACCCCCCCCCTGCACCGCTCCCTGGATGAGGAGGGAGGCACAAATCTTTGCAGGCTGGGAGATTTCTGCCTTCTCTTCTGCTTTGTGCTTCGCTGCCCGTGTAATTGCCTGCGAAATCCTGCTTGGATAATCTTTGTTGCTGATGATGCACAAAGCTGAGAGCTCTACCCTGGGCTGTGTTTTCCTCCTCAGCCCGGTGCCCAGTGCTCCCTGCCCACAGCACGGGGGCACCGCTGTGCCCGCAGGGGTTAATTCCAGAACTGCTGTGCCGGAGGAAAGAGCCCCAATTAATAATTCAGAGGGAGAAGGAACTGGCTCCAACCTTCTGCCTTGCGGGTGAGGAGTGCCCGGGAGAGGAGCATCGTCCTCTGCAGCGAGGGCAGGGCGGTGACAAGGCTGTGACACCCCGGGCCCCTTCGTGCCTGTTGGTGTGTGGCTCCAGCTCTCCCTCCTCCATGATCTGCATCCAGCACTTCTCCCATTCCCTGTGGTTTCTCTGCTGTCGGTCCCATCTCCAGCAGCACTTTTGGGGGAAGGGGAACCCACCTGTCCCCTTTAGGCTGGGCATTGAGTTTTGGGTGCTACTCCCCAGCCCCACTGTGGGGTGACGGTGCTGGAGGGGGGGGAGATGGGTGCCCACCAGCTCGGGGACAGGGTGCCAGGGCCACTGCCAGCCTCAGCCAAGCCATCCCAGTGCTGCCCAGTGGGACATGGGTTCCGGGAGCCGGCTCTGATGGAGCAGTGGCCCTTTGCCGTCACGTGGGCCCGTGGCACAAGCCCTCCACTTTCCTTTTTTAGAATAGCTGGATCAGGGGAAAAAAATGTATTTTTGGAGTTTCATTTGCTTCAGCTTCAGAGTCTACTTCTTTCCACACCCCCCCCCTCCTTACTTTAAATGGGCCAAAGCCCCTGTTTCCTGAGCCCAGTGCTCGGGGATGAACAGCCCCGGAGCAGCTCCCTGGGGACCCTTCCCCTGGGTCGGCTGTTCCCAGGTGGTCCCCGTGGCCCTGGCAGGTCCCCATGGTGGCAGTGGTGCTGGGGACAGTCTGGAGAAGCTCTGGTCCCCTTTCTGCCGCAGCAAAACTCTCCACGGTGTGGGACCCCTCATCTCCCTCCCTGCCTTTAATTAAGAGCCGGCAGGGCCGAGGTGGAGCCTGGCACCAAGCCCCACGGCTGCTCCCGGGCTCCCCAGTGGCTCCATGCCACCATCTAGGGGCAAACTGTGTCTCTGGTGGCTCAGCCACGGCCGTGGAGGTCTTGGCTGGGGGGCTCAGGCTGCAAGTGGGGGGCAGCACTGTGGGCTGGGCTCCCCTGGCTGCCCCAGTGCTCGGGTCCCCCGACCACCCTGGTGCCCTCACTGACACTCTGCCCTTCCAGATTCCTCCTCGTCTTCAGCTGCCTGGTGCTGTCGGTCTTCTCCACCATCCAGGAGCACCAGAAACTGGCCAACGAGTGCCTCTTCATCCTGGTAAGTGATGCAGGAGCAGGGCTGGGGCTTGAATTCCCCCTCCCCACATTGCACCCTGAAAGACTCGGTCAAGATCACGGACAAAACTCCTCCGACCCTTTCCCAGCCCGGACGTCCCCGATGATCCAACGATGGCAGCCTCTCTGGCACGCTGGGGTGGAACTGGGGGTGGCCTTGCTGGGGGCGTCCCCACGGCTCAGGGGGGGTCCATCCCGCCACAGTCCCTCTGTGCTGCAGAGAGGCATCAACCGCTGGAAAAGGCAGGGCAGGAGGGGCTAAAAAAGGCAACTTTCCCCCAAACTGTCAGAAAGAGCTGACGCGGGACTTCTCCCGAGTGATGGAGACTAAATTGGGAAGGTCCTTGTGACTTTCCTGCGAGTAAGCAGAACGGGGGCTTGTTCGTGCGAGAGGTAGGAGGACAATGCTGACGGTGGAGGAAAAGGACCCAGCTCAGAGTGAGGCAGGAGAGCCGGGACGCTCAGACAGCCCCGACGGCTGCGGCTCCCGTCTCACCGCCCCCGTTCCCCCGGGACGGCTCCCGTGGCCTTGGGGGGACACCATAGCACTATTTCAGGTTGTGCCCCCCCAAGCTGAGTTCCCCTGCCCCCTCTCGCCCCCCTCTGCCCCTCAGGAGTTCGTCATGATCGTGGTGTTTGGCATGGAGTACATCATCCGCGTCTGGTCCGCCGGCTGCTGCTGCCGCTACCGGGGCTGGCGGGGACGGTTCCGCTTCGCCAGGAAACCCTTCTGCGTTATAGGTATGGGGCTGTGCTGGTTTAAAGGTGAACCAGCAGGGGAAACGAACCCAACTCAAAAGAGAGATTACAAGTCAGAATAACAATTTAATGAAATAATACAATAAGTACGATTATACAGGCAAACAATCGGTTTTAACCCACAAAACCCAAGTGTATAACCCAGCACCCTGGGGATGAACAGAGTGGTGTTCGTTGGGCCCCCTGAGTCCAAAGTAAAAGGAGAGGGGAAAACACCTGTTGGTGAGAGTGCTGGTGCAGTCTGGTCGAGAGTGGTGGTCTGTAGTCTGGTTGAGAGTGGTAGTTGCAGTCCGGTTGAGAGTGGTGGTCTGCAGTCTTCCTCTGGATCCCACGAGTGGTTAAAAAAGTCCCAAGACCCCAAGCTTATATATCCTCCAGTTCAGGCAGGAATGCCCAGTCCCTCCCTCAGGGCGGGGAGTTCCACACTGGGTGTGAGGACAGGAGCATCCTCCTATCTCCCAGGCCTCTTAACACCCAGTTTATGGCCTGAGGAGTCAGGAGTGCTCTGGGCAGAGGGTGTAAATGGTCCATTGATAGCAGTTCCTGGGAAATGGCATGGAAGGCTATGGAATACACAGATTTGGGTTACACCCACACAGCGATGAACTGGTCCCAGCTGTTCTAACTAAGACATGGGTTTTGGGGGGTGGCAGCGTTTGGGAAAAGCCCCACGCCCCCGACCTTGGTTTCCCCCTGCCAGATTTCATCGTCTTCGTGGCCTCGGTGGCCATCATCGCCGCCGGCACCCAGGGCAACATCTTCGCCACGTCCGCGCTGCGGAGCATGCGCTTCCTGCAGATCCTGCGCATGGTGCGCATGGACCGCCGCGGCGGCACCTGGAAGCTGCTGGGCTCCGTCGTCTACGCCCACAGCAAGGTGAGGAGGCCCCGTCCCGGCGCGGCCCCCGCGCCCCCCAACCCGAGCCCGCCTCACCCCTCGTGCCCCTTCCCCCCAGGAGCTCATCACCGCCTGGTACATCGGCTTCCTCGTGCTCATCTTCGCCTCCTTCCTCGTCTACCTGGCCGAGAAAGACGCCAACGTGCAGTTCGCCACCTACGCCGACTCGCTGTGGTGGGGCACGGTAAGCTCGGCCGCCGCGGCCCCCCGGCCCCGGGAGGGGGACGAGGAGGGTGGGATGGGGCCGCGGGGGGAGAGCTCCCTCCAGGCCTCGCCCTGCTCCGCCCCCGGGCAGGTCACGCTCACCACCATCGGCTACGGGGACAAGGCGCCGCAGACGTGGCTGGGCCGGATGCTGGCTGCCGGCTTCGCCCTGCTCGGCATCTCCTTCTTCGCCCTGCCTGCCGTGAGTAGGGCTGGGAGGGGGGTCCCTGCGCCTCGTGCCCCGCAGGAATCGCGGGGGAAAGGGGCAAACCCACCCCTGTGCGGGTGCCAGCCTGTGCCGGCACCCACAGCCCCGTCCCCTCCCGTCCCCAGGGGATCCTGGGCTCCGGCTTCGCCCTCAAAGTGCAGGAGCAGCACCGGCAGAAGCACTTCGAGAAGAGGAGGACTCCGGCGGCAAACCTGATCCAGGTAGTGCAGGGCTGGCGTGTCCTGCCCCATCCCTTCCCAGGAATGCTCTGCTGTGCCCCCTCTCCTCCTCTGCCTGCCTCTGCCTGCCTCTGCCTGCTGCAGGGAGCACCCAGACCCTGTGTCCAACACTTGGCTCCTTTGGGCTGGGCTCTGTGGTGGCCGGGGGGATGGAGGGGTCAGTGGGGGGTAGGTCTCACCTCCCGACTGATCCCGATTCCCGTGGTCTCTCTCCCTGCAGGCTGCCTGGCGCCTGTACTCCACCGACGTCAGCCGGGCGTACCTGACGGCCACGTGGTGTTACTACGACAGCCTGCTGCCCACCTTCAGGTAGGCAGGGCAGGGGACAAGGGCTGAGGGGCTCCTGGGGGGGTCTCTGTGGGGATGAGCAGCCCAGGAGGCCAGGAGGGACCATGTGGAGCCGCCGAGGGCTCGGTGGGGTCAAGCAGCACGGACACTTTCCTCAGCCCTGGATCGCTGGAGCACAGCATCTGCTGGAGTGTCCAGCACCCTCCTCCACCCTCATCATCCTCACAGCACCCAGCACTCATCCCACCCTCTCGCCCCATCCATTGCCTTCCTCCAGCACCACTGTGGGGAACAGGACGGTGTCACCCGCCACAGGGAGCCCCTGGCTGGGGACATGGAGCTGCAGCCGGATGGGAGCCGGCTCCGAGTGTAGACCCAGATGGACATGGCAGGACCCAGTGGGAGCCCCATGGCCCATCCCTGCAGAGTTCTCCCTCCCATGGCCCCTGGGATGTAGTTGGGTGGATCAAAGAACCTCCAAAGCTTTTCCAGACTCTCTGTGTGTCCCCATCACCCCGAGCTCACCAGGGTTTGCCACCCCTGTGCCTCATCCCTGCCTGTGCATCCTGCCCTGCTCCACCCTTGTGTTCCTTTGCAGGGACAAATTCGTTCTTCTTCTGTTCCACTTTGTTTTTCCAAAGACAGGGCTCTTAACAGCCCCAACAGCGAGTTCCTCTGGTCCCTGACCGAGGAGATGCAGCTTCCCGAGCATCACCACGGAGCCTGGGATCATGGGGGGCTTCACCTGCTGGGCCAGGAGCCACTTCCCCTGCAGTGGGGAGCTGAGATAGAGCCAGACTCAATCCCTGTTGGATCTGAGCTTTTCCCTCCTGGCTACTCCAGCTGTGCCCAGACCCCTGGATCTGATGGTGGCAGGTTCCCATGTCCCCATCCAAGGCGTGTCCTGCCTGTCCCTGCCTGACCCATCCCTCTCAGCACAGGTCCAACCCCTCCTCTCTGTGGGACCCTATCCCAGCTCGCCCTCCCCATCCCCCCCAAATGCCTCAACCTGCTATTAAGAAACTACCTTTTGAACAAAAATATTGATTTTTTTTTTTCTTCTTGTTTTACCCTGGTTTTGCTTTGGTTTGTGCTCAGGAGGACCCGGCGCTGCTCAACCTTGGTTTGCTTTGGAAAATTTAATTTCTCCCTGTTTTTATTTCGCCCCGACCTCAGAGAGCTGGTACTTATGTTTGAGCACTTGCACCGAGTTCGCAACGGAGGATTTAGGAACTCAGAGGTGAAAAAATTGCCTGACAGAGCCCCACCAACTTACCTCTCCTTCACCCCTGCCCAGAAAAGCCTGGCCACGTGTTCAGGGGAAAGGTAGGAGGGGGCAGCCCCCGTGTTCTCCCTCCCCTCTGCTCTGTCTCTTCTGCTCCTCTGTGTCCTCCTGCGATGCCACTGTGGTGCCATCACTGCCAGACTGGACCCCAGCAGTGCCCACCACCCCAAACTGGCCCTGCTCCCCGCTCAGGGCCCTGCTGGGAGTCCATCCTGCTCCTGGCACTGCTTCCAGCACTGTTCCCCGCTCCAGAGCGGGCACGTTTGGTCCTCAAGGACAGACTCTGGGCTGTTGTATCTTTGTGAAGCCCCTTTTTTGTGTGGCTATAGCACGGGGATCTGGCACAGGGGAACCAACCGTGGCAGAAAACACCCTGGCAGAGGCAGTGCTGCCATGCTGTGGGGATGGGGCCATGTGGCCTCACTGCAGAGCCAGGCAAGGAGCAAAACCCAGAGCCTGTGGTGTGAGAAGGGCTGCCCCTGCCCCTGGCAGTGGGAGCAGCGATGCTGAGCTGCCCCAGTGCCCACCAGAAGAGGCAAGAGGGGGTCAGGGCTACCATGCTGCTGGTGGTGGCTGCTCTGCCCCGTGTCCCCGCTCCCCTTGGCTGAAGAGCATCCTGGAGACCCCGGTGGCCAGAGCACTGGCACATTGGCACAGGGCCCTGGGCCAGCAGCAGGGTGAGGTGGGGGGAGGCACCGTGCCTCGGTGTCCCCTGTGCTGCCAGATGTGGCACAGTGTGGGTGAGTTTGGGCTCAGGGGGCTCCCTTGCAGCAGCACCAGCCTGGGCTCGGTGTCCCGGTGACCAGGGGAAGGACTGCACCCCCTTTCCGGGGGGCCCGAGCCCCCCCCACCTCCTCCGCGAGCATCACCTCTCATAACATCTCATCTTCTCTCTCTCCTCCCCTCTCCTGCTCACCCCTCTCCTCTCCATCCCTCCAACCTCCCCCCCCCCTCCAAACCTCCCGTGCCCCCCCAAAGCTGGAAGGAGGAGGACGTGCAGCCCCACAAGTGTTTGCGGCTCAGGTAACGCTCGGCCCCGGCGGAGGGCGGGGACCGGGGGCGGCGGAGCCCCCGCGGGGTTCGGGGGGTCACCCACGCCCCGTCCCAGCGCTCGGCACCGCGTCCCGTCACCGAAACCTCCTGGCAGAGCCGCGGAACCGGAACAGGCGCCGCGTTTATGCAGGACCTACACAAACAATGCCGCCTCCCCCGGCAGAGGCGGTACCGCGGGGCTGGAGCCGCGGGAGATGCTCAGCGGTGGCACTTCGGGACCCCGCGCCCACGGGCCCGGGGGGTCGGGAATGTGGCCCGGGATGCTGCGCTCCCCCCCCCGGCCACGGCTGACTCTCTTTTCTCCTGTGTCTCTGCCCTGACCCTCCAGCCCCATCTTTAGTGGTAAGAGGAGGCTCTTGCAGACGTGGGGCACGTGGAGACGGAGGTACCGTGTCCTTGCTGCCTGCCCGCGCTGGCTGCCTGCCCGCCCCGGCGGAGAGTGGGACCGGGAAGGGCGGGATGCATGGTGCTCCGTGCCTGGATGCCTGCTGACTGCGGCGTGGGGAGGGCTGGGGAGTGAGGCAGAGCAGGGGGAGGCCGAAGGGGGGGGTCCTTCTGCAGGGCAGGGGGGTCTGTGCATGGCCTGGGCCCAGCGGTCTCTCCCCACTGTCCCCCACCGGCTCCCACAGCAGCCCTGCCTCAGTTTCCCCATCGTGCATCGTGGATGGGGATGCCAAATCCAACCAACTGATGCACCTGGATTGACCCCATCCCACCCCCGTCCTGCAGCCTGGTCTCTCAGGACACAGCCATTCCCATCCTCCAGATCAGCAGCCTGCATGGGGAAGGGCTCTACCCCTGCCTCCACCCTGCCTGTCCCCCTGCCTTGCCCTGTGACTCCTGGCCCAGGAAATCCAGGAGTCTCCCCAGACACTGGGGTTCCACGGATCCTGTCCTGCAGCGTGGGTGGGATTTGCTCCTTGTCCTCCCTGGCTTTGGAGTCCTGCCCCATGCATCCACTTGGCCTCCCGAGGCTCAAGCTGTGCTTGGGGTCCCAGATCGTGCAAAAGGCAGCATTCAGGGGGTGTTTTTGTGTAGGTCCTACATAAATGATGCCTGGTGTTTCCCCCCAGTCCAGTGGAGTGGCTGGTTTTGGGAGCAGAGCTCGTGTTAGGGCAGGAGCAGAGCCTGGATTAGGTGGTGCAGCCTGGAGGAGGAGGAGGAGGGTGCCCGGGGTGCCCTGTGCCAGAGGGGATGGAGCAGGAGCAGGGCTGCTCCCACCAGCCTCTGTCAGTGGCTCTGCCACATGTCCCCCGCTGCCACACCTGTCTGTCCCCACTCTCGCTGTCTGTCTGTCACCTCCTTTCTCTGCTCCTGGCACAAAAATAAAAAGGTGTTCAGAGGAGTTAAACCCCAGAGCTGCCCCCGCCGCGGTACCACCTGCTCCTGGCCTGGCTCGTACCCGTCGCGTGCCAGGGGGCTCTCCATGAGCTCAGCACGGCCGCCCCCGCCACGGTGGGCACCACGTGTGCCCGCTGTCCCCTTCCCCACCCCCCCGGTGACGCCACCTCCCCCCCCCCTCCTCGCTGTCCCCCCACAGCAACAAGATGGGGCTCAAGGAGCGGATCTGGCTGAGCAGCTCCCAGCGGCAGGGCAGCCGCGGCCGCCAGCAGCTGGGGCCCCCTCTGCACCGCTCCCCCAGCACCGAGGACGTGCCCGAGGCCACCAGCCCCACCAAGGTGCAGAAGAGCTGGAGCTTCAACGACCGCACCCGCTTCCGCGCCTCCCTGAGGCTCAAGCCGCGGACCCCGGTTGAGGGTGAGCCCTGGGACTGCTGGTGCGGTCTGGGACACGCTGGGGGGGCTGCAGGTGTTTTGGGGGGGCAGCCCTGGGTCTCTGCCATCCACCTGCTCTTGGCACCCGCAGCCGACTGCCCTCCGGAGGACAGTGGTGAGGAGAAGGGCTCCCACTGCGACCTGACCTTCGAGGACATCATGCCAGCGGTGAAGACCCTCATCCGGGCTGTCAGGTGAGACCGTCCCCTCCCGCACCCCCCGGGCACCTCCCTGTCCCTCCCCGGTGCCCCGCAGCCAGCCTGGGTGTCCCTGCAGGATCCTGAAGTTCCTGGTGGCCAAGAGGAAGTTCAAGGAGACGCTGCGTCCCTACGACGTCAAGGACGTCATCGAGCAGTACTCGGCCGGGCACCTGGACATGCTGGGCAGGATCAAGAGCCTGCAGACACGGTGAGGTGCCCTGGAGCTGGGGGGGTTCCCTGGGTCTCCCACCACGAGATGAGGTGCTGGCCCATCGCTGTGGGTGGGACACATTCCCAGAGCCCTCTCCCCATCCCCTGTGGCCTCACACGCCCTCGAGAGTGACGGGCTCTGTCCCTTCCTTCCCTGCCAGCGTGGACCAGATCATGGGCAGGGGGGCCCTGGCTGTGGACAAGAAGGTGAGGGAGAAGGGGGAGAAGCCGGTGCTGGAGATGGAGCTGGTGGACGAGCTCAGCATGATGGGGCGCGTGGTCAAAGTGGAGCGGCAGGTCAGGAGGGGACACCCCCAGGGAAGGTGCCCCCGTCCCTTTGGCACCCGTGGGATGGGGGAACTGAGATTCCCGGGGGGGGGGACCGGCTCAGCCCCGCCCTGCCCACCCTGCAGGTGCAATCCATCGAGCACAAGCTGGACCTGCTGCTCGGCCTCTACTCCCAGTGCCTCCGCAAGGGCTCCACGAACTCCTTCAGCCTGGCAGCCGTGCGGGTGCCGCCCTGCGAGCCCGACATCACCTCCGACTACCACAGCCCCGTGGACCACGAGGACATCTCAGCCTCCGCCCAGACCCTCAACATCTCCAGGTCGGCCAGCGCCAACATGGACTGAGTGGGAGGCAGTGGGATGGATCCTCCCATGCGGGATGGGGTGCCGGGAATGCTGTGGCACCACCGGCCCTGCCCAGCCCCGGCCCTTGCCGTGTCATTTGAGCCAAGTCTTCCTCTGCGGGGGCACGGCTGCAATGGGGTGCCCGCTCTGGGGGCGCAGTGGGAGCCCATGGCATGGCCAGACCACGCTCTTGGGATGCTCCTGCCCTTCCTGGGGCATGAAACCCCCCCCCCCCCAGCTCCTGAGGCCCTGAGTGCTCCCCAGCCAAGGCGGGGAATGCTCCAAGCTGGCCCAGTCTCCTGGGGTTTGGCTCGTACCCCAGTCCCAGCTCTCAGGACATGTCCAGCTCCCCAGTGGGGTCCTGCCTGGTCCCCCCCGGAACTGAGCTGGGATCACCACCAGCTATGCAAGGTCCCACCTCCCTTCTGCTGCCGGTGCCGAGCGGGGCTGTGGGGGCACAGCCCTGTGTGGTTTGACCTGCATCGCTCGGGGTCAGGGCAGCAGCAGGGCCCCCCCTGTTTGGGGAGTGGGGGTCTGTCCCCCCTCACCGGGCTGCACCTTTCTAGAAGCACAGCAGAGCCTTCTGCCTGCCCGTGCATGCTCCCAGGGCAATATATATATAGAAGATATATATATATAAATATTTATGCAATAATGTCTTAATATGCAACACCCCCGGGAAGAGCAACCTGAGGGGACATAGGCAATAAGCAACCCCCGTGCCAGCTCACAGGGCTGGATCCTGCTGCCTGTGGGGGCCCTGGAGGTCCTGGGGGCTTGGGGCCAGGTGAAAAACCTTCCCCCAAGGGTGGCCCTGGAGCTGTGAAGCTGGGCAGGGGCTGTGGAGGAGGCAGGGATGCAGGTACAGGCGCTGTCCCCAAGGAGCATCCCTCCCTCTCCTGCTCTTGCTTAGAGGATTCCCTCCCTGCCGGGTCCTGCGGTGCTCAGTTTGTCCCTCCCCGTGTCCCTGTCCCCTCCGTGGTCCGGGGAGCATGGGCCGGGCCTGGGGGGGTGACTGCCTGGTGGGGACAGGGGGATCTCCTTGCATGTCACCTGCAGCAGAGCCACAGCAGCTGCTGTGCTGCTCCAGTCCCAGTCCCGGGGCTGGTTTCCAGTCTGGCAGCGCTGGGCTGAGCCAGGCTGGAAGCGATTGTGGTCGTGCCAAAGTTTGCCAGGCTGGAGCTGGCGGCAGCTCCTGCCCAGCCGGGGGTCCTGGGGGGGTGACACCCGCGGTGAGGGATCTGCCCTGGGCTGGCAGGATCCCATCGATCCCCTCGCTGCCAGTGCAGCCCCTCTCTGGGATTCAGACCTTTGCATCCTTGCCCGGCTGTGCCTCTGCTCCTGAGAGTGGGGACCCCCGGCCCTGCTCGTTTTCCGGCCCCCTTAGTGCATGTGGCCAGCACGGGCCGTGCCAGAGCTGCTTGCAGCCCCCCCACCTTGCTCCTGCACCGCCCTGGCCCCCTCCCCTCGCCCCGGGGGTGGGACACGAGGGGAGGGTGGGGTGTCGGGGGTGGGTGGGAGGAGGGTGGGTGCCGGGGAGGGTGCCCGGCCGCGGGGCGAGGGTGCATGTGACAGCTTTGCCCGCAGCCGCACGCAGGAACTAACTCGTAGGACCCTCCCCCGGGGCTGGCTGGTCCCCGCAGACCTCCCGAGCCAGCGGTAGTTACCTCACTTGATTAACTTATTAACTTATTTGTTTCATTAAAATTTGGAGTAGAGGCTGCCTTGCCTGCTGCCGACTCTCTCCCGGCTCTCCCGAGAGGTGGCACTCCAGCCCCGCCGCCGAGCCGTGGCCGGGGACAGGAGCGTCCTGCCAGGGGACACGGGCGCCCGGCCAGGGAACAGAGGCATCCGGCCGCCTCCCTGACCCCCTGGGGCTCCCCGTGAGCTGCAACAGCCCCCCCCCGCAGTGGGATCGGGGCCCCGGCTCCAGCTCCATCGCCCTCCTCAGCTCCGTCACACCGCGTGCCTGGGGGGTGCGGGCCTGATGCCACCGCAGAGGGGGCCCGTGCCCTGCTTTTGGCACCTCGTGGGGTCGCTGTGCCCCATCTGCCTCTTTGGAAGTATCACAGTGTGCCCCCTCCTCAAAGGGGATGACTCTGTGATGTCCCCAAAGCCATTCCAGGGAGGTGAGGGTGTGAGCCCCCCTTCCCCAGGAGACCCCAGTAATCCGGGGACAGCGAAGCCTTGGCCCCATCCCTGTGTGCTGGCACCCTGCAGAAAACAAGTCCCCCAGCCTGCAATGTCAGGGGGCTGGGGAGGCCCCTTCCCGTGCCTCTGGCTGGGGAGGAAGCCGGGGCTGGCTGCAGGTCAGTCCCTGCCTTTCCTGGCTGCTTCTTGCCAAGAAATTTGCTCCTGGATCGTCTTGGAGCACGGCAGTGGGCCGAGCACTGCAGAGGCCAGCACCTCCCTGCCCTGACCGTGCCGGCCCCACTGCCCCCAGAGCTACCCCAGCCTGCTGGGACGGGGGTCTCAGGGTGACTCTAGTACCTGGATTCCATGGACTGCCCTGTGTGTGGGGCACAGTCCCTGGGGTTTGCCTTTGAGGGGGATCCAGGATGTGACAGCACCCTGAAAGCCACGGTGGCACTTCACCAGCCTCTCCCGTCATTCCCAGCCAGCTGAGTGGCTTTCCCGGGTGGGTTTGGAGGGAGGCATCCCTCCAACAGTGGGATCAACACCCTGCCATGGGCTGTGCATCGCTGGGTGCTCCCCCTGCACCCCATGGGGGTGGCGGTGGGTGCAGCTCAGCAGAGCCTGTGTGTGTCTGTGCTGCTCCGTGGGGACAGCCCACCTGGGCGTGGGGCTTTTCCACGGCTCTGTGGGGTGGGGATGGGGTCCTGGGACCTGCTCCCTCCCCCGGCGTGGCTGGAGGTGGTGGCAAAGGCAGGGCGGGCGGGTGTGCCAGCCCCTGGCACTCGGCTCTGCCTCCCGCGATCACATGGGCCCAAGGTGCCCTGGCAGGACTTTGTCCCCCTCCACTGGGTCTGCCCCGCGTGTGCCAGAGGCTGCCACTCCCCGGAGAGGGGACACACGTGAGGGAGGACGCCAGCGTCAGAGGGACACGGGGAGCCGTGACCCCGCGGTGCCAGCTGGCTGCATCCCGCCGGAGCGACGCTTGGCAGGCGGAGCAAAGCCCCGGGAAGGGGGTGAGGGGGTGCTCCAAACACTTGGACTTGTCGCCGCTCCCGCCTCCGCACACCAGCTCTTATCAGCTGGCGGGGGGGCAGCGCTGTCACGGGGATGGGAAGGGGCCAGCTGTTCCCGCAGCGCCCCACGGCGTCCTGCGGGCTGTGCCAGGGGGCTGGCGGGGGAACAAGGACGGGCAGCGGCGGTCTGGGATGTCCTTTGTGCCAGTGGCTCTGCTTTGTTCCCGAGGGTCTTGGGGAATTTGTGAGTCACTGCGGATTCCTCTCTGTCCAGTCACGGAGCAAGTGTGCTTGGAGACAGCCGGACTCTGGGCTGGACGCAGTTCCTTCCTGCGGCGCTCCAGCCCCAGCGCTGCCCAAGGACACATTTACAGGAAAAGGCCCTTCCAGGAGCTCTGGCCGCGCAGCCGGGGCGGGGGGGGGGGATGTCCCTGCGGACGGGGCTCCTGCAGGACCCTCGTTTGGGCACCCAGCGCTCCCTGGGGTCCCGGGGAGCAGGCGGCCCTCGTTCCCAGTGGGATTTGGTGCTCCCCGTGCGTGGATACATGGGGTGAAGCACACCCTGAGCACAGCACCCGCCCCAGGGCTCAGCCAGGAGCCCTCCAGCCACGGCCACGCAGGGAACCCCGCTCCCCCCGCGGCGCTCCCGTCCTGGCTGCCATGAGGCATCTTCGAGGAATCCCTTGGTAGCGCCGGGAGGTGCTCCCGGCGGGGCAGGGACAGCAGGAGCCCCGGCGTGGGCGGCTGGAGCCCCGCAGCAGGTGCTGGTGCTGCGGAGGGAACCAAAGCCTGGGGGGTGGCCAAGACCCCCCGTCCTCGGTCCCCGAGCAGAGGGCTGGGTGCTGGCAGCGGGGACAGGGGGATGGCTCCGAGTGACACCGACTCCGTGCCCTGGGCTGTGACGGGGTGTCCCTGTCTCGCTCGTATCCAGCTTCCCGCTGGAAGGGGGAGGCACGCAGCTCCCTCCTCTCTCTTCCCCTTCTCTCCACACACCTTGCCCCGGAATGGGGAAATCCCCCACGATGGATCCCCGGGAACCCCCTGGACGGAGCAGGGAGTGCTGGAAGGGCAGCCGGGACCCCCCATTTTGCGAGTGCACCAGCGGGGAGTGGGGGGAAAGGGGAGGGGATGAGGATCCGGGGAGACCTCGGCCCCGCGGGCACGGAGGTGTCGTCGGGGACCCCGGGCGGGGGGGTGACGAGTCCGGGGCTCTGTCGCCCGTCCCGCCGGGAGCCCCGGGCCCGACCCCCGCCCCGCTGCGCTCCGCCCCGGCCGGTCGCGGCTGCCCCGGCGCCTCCCCCGGCGCCCCCCCGGCCGGGGCGCGGTTATAAAGGAGCGGCGGGGCCGCGGCGGCGGCGGAGCGGAGCGGCGGGTGCGGCAGGTACGGGACCGGGAGGGAACGCTGGGGACCCGGGTGCGAGGGGTGGGGAGAGGAGAGGGGGTCCTGCCCCGTAAGATCCCTGCGAGACCCTCGGATCGGATCCCCCACCCCTCTCGGGGACCCCCCGCGTCGGGCGCGGCAGGTACGGCCGGGGGACGGAGCGGGACGGGCCCGGGCGGGAGGGGGTCCTTCCCGGTGCCGGATTGCGTTGCCCTCCTCCCGCCACTTTCAGGGTCCTCGTCGCCCCCCTCGGCCCCGCGGGCTGAGACCTGGGAGCTCATCGCACTGCCCGCGATGGGAACTGGGATTGGGGTTGGGAACGGGACCCGGGCACCCCCCCCCGGGTGTCCTGAGGAGCCCCATCCCGCAGGATTTTTGCTCTTGGAGCAGGTGGTTAAGGTGTGGGTGGGCAGGGGGCCCCTCAGATGCCCAGGAGTGGGCACCTGAGGGCAGATGGTGTTTTGGGGGTTGAGGGAACCCTGAGCTGTGTGGTCTCAAGGGGAGTTACAAAACCTGAATGTTTTGAGCGTCCTGGGGGAGGGCAGGGCGGGGACTCGGAGGGGGTGGGGGGGTGTGACCCAGCGGGACGGGTGGGTGCGGAGTGCAGGACCCCCGTGCCCTCAGTGCCCTCCCTCCGCAGCGGTGCCGGCGTGGGGACATGCCCGGGGACATGCGCCCGCTGCGGGCCCTGCTGTGCCTCTGGCTGGTGGCCCGGGCAGCCCTGGGCTCCCGGGTCCGCACCCGCCGGGAGCTGGGCCCCGGCTTGTACCAGAACGGGGTCTACGACGCCGGGGGGTCCTACTGCCAGCGGGGGGACGTCTGCTGCCGCGGCCGCGACGACGGCTGCACAGTGCCCTACCACGACACCCTCTGCTACTGCGACCTCTTCTGCAACCGCACCGTCTCCGACTGCTGCCCCGACTTCTGGGAATACTGCCTGGGCATCCCGGCCCCCTTCCCCAAAGCTCAAGGTGAGGCGCGCCCAGCCCAGCCGGGCAGGGGTCTGTGGGTGCCGGGGGGCGGCCCTGGGGTGCCCCATGTGCTGTGTGATGCTGCCGGTGATCCGTGGAGTGATGGAAGCGGCACCTCATGGTCCTGATCTTGCTGGGAAGCCGCTCCAGACCCCTCGGAGCTGCAGGAACTGACACAAAGTGTCCGGGATGGGGATGGGCTCCGAGAAAAACAGGGCGGGGAGCAGGTTGTGACCCCGCAGCCTGTTCCCACAGCAGGACGTGCCCCTGGGGCAGAGCATGGAGGTGAGGGGGACTCTATCCCAGCTTGCCCGGTCATGTCTGGGGCAGGCGGATGCTGGCCCTGCCTTAACCCTCCCTGCAGCTGGGGCAGGCAGGGCGGCTGGGGGCAAGAAGGGGGCAAGGCAGCCCCCCCCCACACACAGCACAAGGCTCTCTCAGAAGTCCCTGCAGAGCAGAGCCAGCTCCCGGGTACAACCAGCCCCTTTATCCCTGTCCCACCAGGCTGTGCACAGTTAACCCTCCCGGCACCGAGCCAGCCCTGCTCCCACCCTGCTCCGTGGGGCACGAGCTGACCCCCGCCACAGCTTTGGGGGTGCCAAGGTGCTGCCTGGCACCTGCCTGGCTTCAAGAACCACGCTTATTTTCCCCTTGGTACGTACCCCCTGGAACATGGGGGTGCTGGCGTGACCCCTGGCACAGCCAGGCACTCACTGGGGCTCTCCCCTCTCCCACCCAGGCTGTGCCCGTGCCGGACTCAACTATCCCACCGGAGCTACGTACCGGGAGAACTGCAACCTGTGGTGAGTGAGCGGTTCTGGCTTCCCATGCCATGCGAGCACCTGTGGCGTGCCACTGGCGTGCCACCTGCCTGGAGGAAGGTGCCAGAATCCCGTGGGTACCGCTGGCACGGCATGGGCACTCTTCCTGCTCGGAGGAAGGCGCTGGGGTCCCGTGGGGTCCTGCAATCAGCGGG